TCAATGATTTATACAAGTATTATTTTTTTTCATTTTTATGTTTTTTCGTTTGTTTATAACCTTTTTTATGTGCATTGTTCATGTATCTAACAAAAATTGTTTCATGCTATGAACAACGCCGATAAGATAAGAATGGTAAATTAAAACCGAGAAAAATTATGTACTGTTTTTTTTTTGTGCTATGATTTAATTTTTTGGTATTCAAAACGTGCATTAGGGCCTTGTCGAATCTACTAACATTTTCCTACCCTGACGAGCGAATATCCTAGCAAACAAATTGAAAGATCAGTCTAGAGATATTGGCACAAAATAACAATTATTGCTGAGTAGCCTCCCGAATGGGACCTTAGTACCTGCTGGTGAAACTGGCTAACTTACCAAAAACTCTTCAGTATTGAATATAGGTGCTGTTGATTGAATGTAGTGGGAGGAATTAAAATTTTAGCACAAGGAACAGGACGGTACCTAATTTAAATTATTTACCCGCAATTACAATTATTATTAGAATGACACAGTATGTTTTGATTTTTGAGGAATGTAGATCGAGGGACGAGGGTTTCTCTGCCGTGCTCTTTCCCTTCCTGAGTTCCAGGTCGAAAACGGTACGATTTTCTCCAATAATAAATTAGATGTTTCAAAATTTTTTCGTTTATTTTATATACCTATCACTACTTCCCTCAAATTTCTCTAATATTTTCTATTGTCGATCGCATGCCAATTAATTAAAATTTAGTAAGTTTTCACAACGTATGTCCTATTTGTTTTCCATTTCGTTTTTCAGAAGAATTGTTTAAAGAAGACATTATAAAAATTCTAACCATTAAATCTTGCTGAAAGAACCCTGTTATACCACAACATTCTCAACGAGGTCCAGGCTATAACCATTATTGGTCGTTGTTTGTTTAATAGTGTTAATTTCTTGTTCAAAGTTACTAGTCTTTAACGGGGTATTCAAGGCTTTATGAATGTAGCAATTGAGGGCTGCAATTTCATGTGGGTAAGGATGGTTAGAGTAAGAGGGAATGATATGATCGGTCTGTGTGGGCTTACGAAAGATGTCAGACTCTACCAAAATCGGTTGTTGTAATGTTCAGATCCAGGAAATTAATACTTTTATGTTTTTCGATTTCAATAGTAAATTTAATAAGGGGGTGTAAATTGTTAAGGGAGTCTAGTATATAAGTAGGGTTGATGATGTCTGAGTTAACTATAGCCAGACAATCATCGACGTAACGGAACCATTTCTTAATTTTTCCATCTGTCAAAAGGGGTGGAATGAAGGAGATTTCAAGTTGGTTCTTAAAAAAAAAACAGCTAATAGAGGTGATAGGGGGAGGAGATTACCTCTTTTACCTTTTGCTTTACCAACTTTACCAGGTTCTTGAAAGACGGTTTTCCTGTTTTTGGTGTTGTCGTCTTTTGTTGTTGTCCATTTTCAGCTTTCTGAACGTGAAAGCTGTTTTTTGAGTCCTCGATTTTTAATTTTGAGATTGCAGAAACATTTTTGTTCCATGTGCTTTATACAATTTTAATTAAAGTACTCTTTAAAACAAACTTTTTTTGTATAAGACATAACAAAAAAAGAATTTAATATACAGGGTGTGCCATATTAAAAAATGAACAACGACAATTATCAAAGTTTGGCAACGTCGCAACAAAAACTGAGTTTTAAACGAATTTGAATTTCTTACAACTGCAATTGGCAATAATTTCGACTTCATTGATGACGTGCAACCATTATTCTATAAATTCGACTATACTAAAATAATTTAGGAAAAAGAAAAAACAAAAAAACTAATCTATATCATTGAAGGCACATGTAACTATTGTAAAATATGTTCAACAACATCCATTATTTTATAAATTTCATTATACTAAAATAATTTATGAAAAAGAAACAACAAAAAAACTAATCTATATCATTAAAGGCGTATGTAACTATGGTAAAATATGTTCAACAGTTCCCCCATTTTCAGCATATCAAGATAATTTCCAAATGATTTATTGCATTTTAAATATAAGTTGTATTCATGTAATAAATGGCCTCTCGATTTTTTTTTTCCTGAATACTATTTACAGTTACAGGTCGGTCTTTATAAACAAGACTTTTTAGCACGACCCACAAAAAAAAGTCCATTGATGTAAAGTCAGGACTCCGAGCAGGCCACGAAATAGTTCACCGATCCATTCCCGAAAATGCTCGTCAACAAACTCTTAATATCTTGAAAACTGTTCGAGATAAACCTATTTAACTATAATATCATTGAAATCAGCAAAAGCAGAGTTATCTAATGATACATTGATATAAGGGTTTCTAATTAGAAAAAATGTGTATTTAGTTTAAAATTTGAAAATTATCACTACTAGAGAAATACTGAATACACCACTGTAATCTACGTAGAAAGAGCTATAAGAGCCCGTTGTCAAGTTTTCGATCACTTTTAAGCAATAAAATGGAATGGTCCTGACCGTTGTCAAATACTGGCGTTTGTGTCAATTTCAACACTTCACTGTGACAGCTACCTTTCTCTCTCATAGCCACTCTGTTAGGTTTGGTTAATTGGATGATAACTATAGGTAGTATAGGAAATTTTCACCTTAACCTCAAATATATAATATTTCTATAATTTCAATAAGATTAAAAGAGATAGGTGTCCGTCACATGCCTACATCTCTATTTGCTTCAATTTTATAGTTGAAGGTTTAGGCTGTGTGCACGCTTTGAAGTTGAGGAGGAGAAGAAAAAGATTTGTACTTCGTGCAAAAAATACTACCTATATATAATATATGCACGAAGTACAAATGTTCTCCTTCTCCTCCTCAATAGGGTAGTGGACAAAGTATAATTTCAATGAAATCGATGATCTATTCTTCATCTATGGAGTAAATAAAAAATATTCGTATCAAAAGAAATTTTAGATATAATTACTAACCTTGTTTAAAACGGAGGTGAAAGTCGAGTTTTGGAATGCACTATTTGAACAGAAATATTTTGCGCCCTGATTCTACGTCATAGCTGTTGAATTTAAGTATGAATTAAATAAAACCTACGTCCGATATTCGACACAAACTTACTCTTTAGTGCAAAAAAGAGAGATATATCAGCGTCTCTCGGGTATTATTATTAGGCATTCCAGGTTGACGTCATTACCGATCCGCCATTTTAGCTGAGGGGCAAACAAAAGCCAAACATAACCTGATTTAATGTTATTTTCAATGCAAACCGAGAATTGTTGAAGTATTATTTTGTGAAGATGCCTTCGTTTTGTGGCGTTTTTGGGTGCTCCAATAGAGCTGAAAGGGATAAAGTGAAGTTTTTTAGGATTCCAGCAGCATTTAAAGATCGAGGGGATCGCATAAACGAGCTATCAAAAAAACAACGGAGTATGTGAATTAGATGCCTCAATAGGGGAGATTTGCCTGTAACGTTGTTAAAAATGCTCGAATTTGTTCGAAACATTTTGTTAATGGTAAGTTTTATGACTGTCTTGTTAAAATACAAAAACACTTCATCTCGGTACATCAAAAAAATTGTTTATGTTTCTACAAGTATATAGGTAACTTTTAATACCTTTTAGGTAATCCAGCAGAATTTAAGGATACAAACAATTCGGATTGGGTCCCCAGTACAAATTTAGGATATACTACGATAATTGATAGAAGCCCAGAATGAACAAGCCAGTAAGCTAAACTACAGGCCAGATCTGTGCACCGATCAGAACAGTCAAAACGTTTGAGGAGTCATTCTACCACAAATTTATTTTGCTAAAGTTTATTTGTAAGGTTGTTAGTATCAAACTTTTTTATTTTTTAAACAATTTAGAATTTAGACAATAAATTGTTTGTTTACTATTGTTGAATTGAAATGTAAAGTGGCATGCCTGTAAATAAAGATTCATTCGTTCATTCCATTCATTCACAAAAACTAAAAACAACTTAAAATTTATTGAATTAATCAAAAAACACAAAAATTCCAAAGCACAAACTCAAAAAACATTGCAAACAATGGCCGCGTTCACCAGATACAAACGTTGGTAAACGGTTTGTGATTGTTCTGCTGAACGCTACGTTGAATTTGTGTTAAAACCAAACATGTTTTGCAAACGGTCGCCATTTTTGCAAGCATAATTTCAGAGTGTTTATAATTTTCAACACTATGTTTTGTGTGGTGACCTGTCATTCAGAAGGTGACGTTCTATCATTGAAAAGTTGAATCGTTCAGCAGAATCAAGAGTTTACCCAACATATTCTGTTGGTATTTGTAAACTGTTTACAATCCGTTTTGGTTCTGGTGAACGTAGCCATTGATCTATAGGCTTTGTTTGCCCCTCAGCTAATATGGCGGACCTGTCAAAAGTCACGTGACCTGGAATGCCTAATATTTAGGCGCACCCTCAACATAACCCCACTTTTTGAGAGAATTCTATTTATCAATCAGCGCGTACTGAGTTTATCGGCATCTTTTTGGACATACATAACAGCTATGACGTAATTTCCTGGCGGTAAATTATAGCGTTTAAAATAAGTACAAATTTGTTAATTTTTTTTAACGTACATTTTTGATTTCTAAAATCAAAGAATCATCAACAATTTTTTATTTTGTAATGAAGATTAATAAAAAAAATATTTCAAAAAATTGTCCACTACCCTATTTTATAGAGCGACACTGCCATTCCAAGTACAGTACATAGTTCATTGCTTATGAGAGAGCCGAGATAAAAAGCTGTTTCAAAATGAAATATTTCCAAAAACACCTAAGGTCTGAATGAAAAAAATGGCGATGACATCTTTCATTTCACAAAAAAGTAGCCAACGTTGGGGACAACCGCATCCTTCTAACTCCAGTAGCTTTCGAGTTATCCCTTAGGTACAACCAAAATAGGACACCCTGTACACACTTATGTGCATTTCATAATTTATGCTTTTACTAAAAGGTGATTGAAAAACATGTTTCTTCTATCTAATTGGGTTAGTGCTAAAATAACGTCATTCAAGCACAGGCTTAATTCACTTTTAAATTGTTTTATTGAAAAATATGAGCTACGATGATATTTTACCAGTGATTGGAAGTTTTGGTTGGCACCAATGGAAATTACTTATTCTTGTGAGCTTTCCATTTATGGCAAACTTTTTTTTCAAAGTTGGAAACGTGGCTCTTGTTATATCGCCAAAATATAGGCAAGTATAGAAACAAAGTTTACTATTCGTTATGTTAATTATTGGAAACATTTTCAATTGAAATGCCTATACTTTCTGATATCGGGATGTTTTATGATTATTGGGTACCTAACTGGTTATACTTAAAAGTGATTAAAAATATCGATTTTATCAAAAATCTTCGAAAGCTTTATTTAAAAATCAATAACGTCTTTCTGACTATAAGTACAGTTAACTATATTTATTTTGCTATAAATCTGGGAGTATATTGCGGTCCGTTCGTTCCTGTGGTTTGTAGTACGTTCAACAATAACAGAACAAAATATAGTTGGGATCCGGAAGATTCTTTTCCTCGGAGACTCGCTAGCTTTTGACGATATTGATAACATTGCTCGATATAAAAGTATGTAATATCTATGTACCAGGAACTTTTTATTTTCTGTCCCTCCGGTATACTGCACAATGCATAGCATATAGCATAGTAAACTCAGTGATTAGTTAGTAACATCAACACAAAGAAATAAGGAAATATATACAGGATGTTCCGAAACTATTGTGCCAAAAATTGAGGAATAATAGATCTCGCCAAAATAAACGTTTTTTACTTATAAACCCATAGGCGCATGCGCTTTGGTGAGGTGATAATAGCACATTACTGTCGGCGCTGTGGTAGCCACCTTGCACACGGAGAAACGTGTTTGAATAAACAAAACCTGTGTTATTAAATAATACAGAACCCAAAGATTGCTTGCAGTATTTATTTAAAATAATGATTCACAATTCACATCAAAAGATGCTCAAAACTACAACCACCCGCCTCAATGCACGTGTAACAGCGTTGTAGCAGAAATATCGAGTAGATTTCTGCAGGAAATCATTCCCGAAACTGTTTCCCTGTATGCCAGACAAAACATAGGGTACCAACACGACAGACCACCACCAAATTACTTGTTTGCCTTAAGGGAACATCTCAACGAAACATCTGGAAAGAGTGATTGTTAAGGGGGCATGGACTCCACGTTCACCAGACCTGACGGAATGCGACTTTTCTTTATGAGGTTATATGGAAGCTTTTGTTTACGACACTCCAGTTGAAACAGCTAGAGGAAGCTAGTAGGAAGGATTGTTGCAGCAGCTGCCGAAATTCTCGAAGCACCATGAATTTTTCAACGTGTTCAGGAGGCTATGCTACGGCGCTGTCCGCACGTATGAAAGTGGATGGTCGTAGCTTTGAGCATCTTTTGCTGTGAATTATTGTTTTTAGTAAAAATACTGCAAGCATTGCTTGGATTTTGCATCATTCAATAACACAGTTTCTGCTTCAAACACGTTTTTCCGTGTGTAAGGTGGCTACCACGGCGCGACCTGTAATGTTCTATTATCACATAACCAAAGCGCACGTGCCTATGTGTTTTTAAGTGAAAAACGCTTATTTTGGCGCGATCTATCATCCCTTAATTTTTGGCACAATAGTTTCGGAACACCCTGTATATTTTTTTAATAAGAATAAACTAAAATAGTACATTAAAATACAAGTTTCATAAGACGTCATTTTATCGCACGATCCCTATATTAGAAAACGAGCCGGAGGCGAGTTTTCTAAAGGGCGAGTAAGCGCATGTAATTTGTTATACGTGTTTATTCCATCATATAATAAACATTTTTTTCCAGTATTACTTTGAAATTGTATTGTCCGAAGTTTTGGTCTAGTAAAATTGTTACTTTTTTGAATTTTGATATTTAACAGTACTTATATGGTTGTATCTTCCTGCTAAACGCCACATAAAACACTCAATTAGTTCAATAAATTTTACATGCATATACCGTATGTGATCTTATGACTATCAAGGGATTTCAATAATCTAAAGAAATGGTTTCGCTTGTGCTTCTAGCAGCTGCATCTGGACGCAACCGCTAGCCACAGCGACTGGCAGTGCGGTTGAGTGTTTCCATTAAACGCGTCGGAATTTTATTATATGCTCTTGTATTTTAAGAGGAAGAGGAAGAGGAAGAGGAAGAGGAAGAGGAAGAGGAAGAGGAAGAGGAAGAGGAAGAGGAAGAGGAAGAGGAAGAGGAAGAGGAAGAGGAAGAGGAGAGGAAGAGGAAGAGGAAGAGGAAGAGGAAGAGGAAGAGGAAGAGGAAGAGGAAGAGGAAGAGGAAGAGGAAGAGGAAGAGGAAGAGGAAGAGGAAGAGGAAGAGGAAGAGGAAGAGGAAGAGGAAGAGGAAGAGGAAGAGAGGAAGAGGAAGAGGAAGAGGAAGAGGAAGAGGAAGAGGAAGAGGAAGAGGAAGAGGAAGAGGAAGAGGAAGAGGAAGAGGAAGAGGAAGAGGAAGAGGAAGAGGAAGAGGAAGAGGAAGAGGAAGAGGAAGAGGAAGAGGAAGAGGAAGAGGAAGAGGAAGAGGAAGAGGAAGAGGAAGAGGAAGAGGAAGAGGAAGAGGAAGAGGAAGAGGGAAGAGGAAGAGGAAGAGGAAGAGGAAGAGGAAGAGGAAGAGGAAGAGGAAGAGGAAGAGGAAGAGGAAGAGGAAGAGGAAGAGGAAGAGGAAGAGGAAGAGGAAGAGGAAGAGGAAGAGGAAGAGGAAGAGGAAGAGGAAGAGGAAGAGAGGAAGAGGAAGAGGAAGAGGAAGAGGAAGAGGAAGAGGAAGAGGAAGAGGAAGAGGAAGAGGAAGAGGAAGAGGAAGAGGAAGAGGAAGAGGAAGAGGAAGAGGAAGAGGAAGAGGAAGAGGAAGAGAAGAGAAGAGGAAGAGGAAGAGGAAGAGGAAGAGGAAGAGGAAGAGGAAGAGGAAGAGGAAGAGGAAGAGGAAGAGGGAAGAGGAAGAGGAAGAGGAAGAGGAAGAGGAAGAGGAAGAGGAAGAGGAAGAGGAAGAGGAAGAGGAAGAGGAAGAGGAAGAGGAAGAGGAAGAGGAAGAGGAAGAGGAAGAGGAAGAGGAAGAGGAAGAGGAAGAGGAAGAGGAAGAGGAAGAGGATGAGAAGAGGAAGAGGAAGAGGAAGAGGAAGAGGAAGAGGAAGAGGAAGAGGAAGAGGAAGAGGAAGAGGAAGAGGAAGAGGAAGAGGAAGAGGAAGAGGAAGAGGAAGAGGAAGAGGAAGAGGAAGAGGAAGAGGAAGAGGAAGAGGAAGAGGAAGAGGAAGAGGAAGAGGAAGAGGAAGAGGAAGAGGAAGAGGAAGAGGAAGAGGAAGAGGAAGAGGAAGAGGAAGAGGAAGAGGAAGAGGAAGAGGAAGAGGAAGAGAAGAGGAAGAGAAGAGGAAAGAGAGAGGAAGAGGAAAGGAAGGAGGAAGAGGAAGAGGAAGAGGAAGAGGAAGAGGAAGAGTAGGAAGAGGAAGAGGAAGAGGAAGAGGAAGAGGAAGAGGAAGAGGAAGAGGAAGAGGAAGAGGAAGAGGAAGAGGAAGAGGAAGAGGAAGAGGAAGAGGAAGAGGAAGAGGAAGAGGAAGAGGAAGAGGAAGAGGAAGAGGAAGAGGAAGAGGAAGAGGAAGAGGAAGAGGAAGAGGAAGAGGAAGAGGAAGAGGAAGAGGAAGAGGAAGAGGAAGAGGAAGAGGAAGAGGAAGAGGAAGAGGAAGAGGAAGAGGAAGAGGAAGAGGAAGAGGAAGAGGAAGAGGAAGAGGAAGAGGAAGAGGAAGAGGAAGAGGAAGAGGAAGAGGAAGAGGAAGAGGAGAGAGGAAGAGGAAGAGGAAGAGGAAGAGGAAGAGGAAGAGAAGGAAGAGGAAGAGGAAGAGGAAGAGGAAGAGGAAGAGGAAGAGGAAGAGGAGAGGAAGAGAGAGGAAGAGGAAAAATATCTAGAATTATTGGAAAAGAAACGTCAAAAAAAAAGATGAAAAACTAATTGAGGAAGTGAGGAAATATATACAGCGTGGTTGACTCGGTGGTTGATTTCTACAACGACTGCGGCCAGACTGAGACACGTCTCACTAGATCGGCAAACGCATGCCGCCGGACGTCGGCAGTTTGGCTGAGACGCACAAGTAAAAACGGCAGGTAAATTCTTTTACCTACGAGCGTGCAGTAAAGTGCACTTTACCGCACGTATTTGCAAATGGAAAGTATCACTTTACCGCACACTATGCATAGTGTACGGTAAAGTTAACTTTACAGCATAGTATGCGGTAAAGTAGAATACAAAGTGTGCGGTAAAGTGCACTTCACCGCATAGTATGCGGTAGAGTAAAATTTGATATTTATAATAAAAAATCCTCTCTCTTTCAGAAAATGGATTTTTGATCATTTCTAAATCTCATCTAATTTCATTAATTAATCTGATTCATTAATTAATTTTATCAATGCCTTTTTTGGGAGATGTAGATGCTCATAGGTAAAATTTTGTACCTAACACATGCGGAAAGTGCCTTTACCGCCCTTAACGGCTTGACCGAACTCCGCTTCGCGTCGTTCGGTCAACTGCCGTTGCGTGCAGTAAAGTATCACTTTCCGCATTTGTTAGGTAAATAACTATATTCAGTCAGAGAGTTGCGGTCCCGGCGATTGCGTCCGGAAGCAGCCGCGAGACGCTCAAACCCTGGAGCCAACCGTACGTTTACGCTGAGTGTTTGCTTACTATGAAAAGAATATAATCCACAAAATATTGCATCTTTAATGCAATAATTTCTATTTCATGTTGTTGCACCTGTATAAAATGTATGCATACAGTAGGGTTGCTTTTTAGAGAGAGAAAAACTCGTTATCAAAAACTTTTTTTTATTTTGTAATAACTTTGTTCTATAAACAAACACGATATGAAGATAATATTACCATTAAACCTGACGTGACCTCGAAACAGCATTTCGTATAGTTTTACGTATGAAATTACATTAAGCAATCAATCAAACAGATAGAAAATTAGAAATATTATTTGCTATGAGCTGTGACGAAATTTTGACCGGTGGTTTTTGCTCGCACCAATGGAAATTGGAAATTAGCTTTGACAATGATTATAAATGACTTTCTTAAATATGAATATGTTTATTATATAGATACAGTCAGTGGCGGATCCAGGGGTGGGGCGCGGGGGGCGCCCGCCCCCCCCCCCCCTGAGAG